CCTGGAGTCCATCAGCCTCGGCTTTTCTCAGACATTAATAGACGCAGAGGGGGACAGCATTTCCGGCCAATTTTCTCGGAAATCAATAGGAGAAGAGGAAGACAGCCACCGCCCTGCCCATCAGTCTCGGCCCTTCTCCGACATTAATAGAAGGAGAGGAGGACAGCAGCCCCGGCCAATTTTCTCGGACATTAATAGAAGGAGAGGAGGGCGCCCGCCGTCCTGTCCATCGGTCTCGGCTCGTCTCAGACATCAATAGGACAGGAGAACAAGAGGGCAGCGGCCTCGGCTACTTTTCTCTGACATTAATAGAAAGAGAGGAGGGCAGCAGCCTCGGCTACTTTTCTATCTCGGACATTAATAGAAGGAGAGGAGGGCGCCCGCCGTCCTGTCCATCGGTCTCGGCTTTTCTCGGACATTAATAGAAGAAAAAGAGGGCAGCGGCCCCGGCTGCTTTTCTCGGACACCAATAGAAGAAGAGGAGGACAGCCGCCGCCCTGGAGTCCATCGGCCTCGGCTTTTCTCCGACACCAATAGGAGCAGAGGGGGACAGCAGCCCCAGCCAGTTTTCTCTGACATCAATAGAAGAAGAGGAAGACGGCCACCGCCCTGCCCATCAGTCTCGGCCTCTCTCAGACATTAACAGAAGAGGAGGAAGACAGGAGCCCCGGCCAATTTTCTCCGACATTAATAGAACAAGGAGAGAGGGCAGCCGCCTCGGCTGCGTTTCTCGGACATTAATAGAAGGAGAGGAAGGCGCCCGCCGTCCTGTCCATCGGTCTCGGCTTTCCTCTGACATTAATAGAAGAACAAGAGGGCAGCGGCCTCGGCTACTTTTCTCGGACATTAATAGAAAGAGAGGAGGGCGCCCGCCGTCTTGTCCATCGGTCTCGGCTTTTCTCGGACATTAATTAATACATTGAAGAAGAGGGGGGCCGCTTCTCTTAATGAAGAGGAAGAAGCACCGCAGCAGCCTCTCTTAAAGAAACCGCGCCACCTCCTGGCCATCAATCTCCACGCGTGCTGCTTACTTCTCCCCCCACCCTCCCCGCGCGCCCTGTTGTGGTTTTTATTGAACCCCCCCACGAGAGGAGGACAGGGCAGCGATGGCAATAGTGGCCGGCCCTGTCGTCATAACCTGGTAAATATTTAGACCAGGATCCATCTAGCTAGCTCTACCTTCGCGAACGTCTTTCCCCCTTCCCAGCGCCTTCTTGGCTATCCTTCAGGATGTGGAAGAGTTTCTGCCGTTGCATAGGGCACACATTAGCCCGGTGCCTGCACGTGCGCCGGCATGTTTTTTTTTTGGTTTGTGTTGGTGCGTGGTGATTCTAGTGCGGAAATGAGCTACGCGTCGCGCTAGGCTAGTAGATATGTTGAATCATTTTTTACTTGTCCTAGTTATCCCGGTTTGATGTCCTCGGGCCTCTTGGTCACGATAAATAGAAAATAATTTAATATCTATAAATATCGATGGTAGGTAATCTGAAGAAATAAGGTGTGCCTAGAATCATTTATACTATAAATAGTACTACAGATGGGGTCCCGTTATCCTGAACAACAAGGATTACAACAGATCTGACTAGAGGGCGAGCATACAGTTCGCTTCATAGTTACTCGACGTCCAGTGAGCAACATCATGATCCAACTCACATATCATTTATTACTGGATCCCTTTTTTCGATCTGCTACCTAGGGTAGAAGAATTATTCTGAATTCATAACGTACCAAAAAACTTCGAGAATTCGAGTTTTTCCATATTTCCGGAAGCCACCTTGGCCAACCAGCCTTGGATCCGGCTCTGCTTGGTAGCGATTTCTTCTTCATCAACTTTATTGTCGAAAAGCTCAGCGATATCACTGTCATCGCGAGAGCTCCCAGAAGCAGAATGGAGGACGAAATCCCGAACAGTTTTGACTTGGTTCGCGTTCTCGCACATGTTGGGTCGTGAAGGTGCTGCACCCATTTTTAATTCTGTTTCACCGGTGGATCGGTGAGGCACGGGTCGTGATATAGAACTAGAAGACGTGGTTTCGACTCTACCTATAATATCTATAAAAATGTGGTGCTAAATATAATTTTTTAGATCGATACAAATTAGCGTAAAAAGTAAAAGTAAGATACCACGAATACTCTTGATACAACTTCATCTTACTCTCTTGTAAATCATGTGATACTTCAAAGCAGGTCTTTAATCATCATGTCACAATAAATTCTTATAACAAGTTGATAGATAAAAAACACAACAAAAAAAAATCTATATTATTAATCTATAGACCTTCGGACCAGAGACGACCTTTGGACCAGAGACGACCCCTGGACCCAAGACGACCCCTGGACCCAAGACGACCTTTGGACCCAAGGCGACCTTTGGACCCAAGGCGACCTTTGGACCCAAGGCGACCTTTGGACCAAAGGCGACCTTTGGACCACAGGCGACCTCTGGACCACAGGCGACCTTTGGACCACATCCACCGGCGACCTTTGGACCACGGGCGACCTTTGGACCACACCAGACGACCGCTGGACCAAAGTAAGACGACCTTTGGACCAAAGTGAGGCGACCTGTGGACCAAAGTAAGGCGACCTTTGGACCAAAGTAGGGCGACCTCTGGACCAAAGCGAGGCGACCTCTGGACCAAAGTAAGGCGACCTCTGGATCAAAGTGAGGCGACCTTTGGACCAAAATAAGGCGACCTTTGGACCAAAGTAAGGCGACCTTTGGACCGAAGGCGATCCTTGGACCAGAGGCGATCTCTGGACCAAAGACGACCGGTGGACCAAAGGCGATCTTTGGACCAGAGACATGCTTTGGGCCAGGGGCGACCTGTGGACCAAGGGCGACCTTTGGACCAAAGACGACCTTTGGACCAAAGACGACCTTTGGACCACAGGCGACCTTTGGACCACAGAAGACCTTTCGACCAACACCAAAGCCGACCTTTGGACCAAAGACGACCCTCAGACCAAAGGCAACCTTTGGACCACTGACGACCTGCAGACCACAGGCGACCTTTTAAGGCGACCTCTGGACCAAAGTAAGCCGACCGCTGGACCAAAGTAAGGCGACCGCTGGACCAAAGTAAGGCGACCTTTGGACCAAAGTAAGGCGACCTTTGGACCAAAGTAAGGCGACCTTTGGACCAAAGTGCGGCGACCTTTGGACCAAAGTCGACCCTTGGACCAAAGACGACCTTTGGACGACCAGAGACGACCGCTGGACCAGCGACCGCTGGACCAAAGACCTCTGACAAGACAAGAGACCCACGACGGCAGACATCTGACGAACGACCTCTGCCAGAAAAACTGCCGCCCGACCTGTGGCGAGAGGCTCTACCGCGACGAGGATTGGATAGCGAAGACCTTTGACGAAGGACGCCAGTCCGACGAACGCGGTCAGTCTGGCGAACGACGTCAGTCCGACGAAGGGGCAGAGTCAACCTCACGAAGGAAAGACATCCGCAGCCCGAAGAGAGGCTCCGCGCAGCCTGTTCCGACGGAAGGCAGACGCCTGGCGAAGCAGTGCGCCAGCCTGGCGAGAGGCGTCACCTGGCTGGTCAGTGCATCAGCCTGACGAACCAACGGCGCCACGCTGAAGCAAGCCATCAACCTGCCCAAAGGCGTGAGTCTTGGCCCGGCGAGGAATCCCGGCCAGGCGAAGCGCTTCAGTCTGACGAAAGGCGTCAGCCTGACGAGAGACGTCGCCCGACCCTGACGAAGGGCCCCAGCCTGGCCCACGACGTCCGCCGAAGGGCGCCGGCCTGTCGTCCGACGAAAGCCGCCAGCCTGGCGCAGCGCGTTGGTCTGACGAACGGCATCCGTCTGATGGAGGGCCTCAGTCTCCATCCTGGCGAAAGACGTCAGCCAGTCGAGAGGCCTCAGCCACAACCCGAAGCGCGACGCCCCACGCCCCCGCGAAGTGCGCCCGTCTGTTTCTGACGAGAGACATCTGACGAAACAAGGAAGCCCCGGCAGCGCAGGCGTAAGCGCGTAGAGAGACCCGAGCAGCGCGGCCCTGCGTTGCTTTGTCTTGTTTGGCCCGCTAAAGCCGCTACGCGTCCCTGCCTGGCGCCACCGCGAGGCGTTTACGTGCGTTGGGGCTTGCGGATTCTTGTGCGTGTCTGGTGGCCCTCTTCTGGTTTTTTTGTTGGACTGCCGCGGGGGTCTTGCAAATTCTTAAGAATTTGCATGACCCCCCGGCAATCTCATAAAAAAACCGAAGGCAGCGCAATGCCCTGCACATGAGTCGACGCANCGGGGGTCTTGCAAATTCTTAAGAATTTGCATGACCCCCCGGCAATCTCATAAAAAAACCGAAGGCAGCGCAATGCCCTGCACATGAGTCGACGCATCTGAGTCGGCCACCGTCGGCGCTCGGCTTTTGTCGTAGTTAATTTGTAGGGTGCAACAGCTCACCCGCGGGCTGTCTCTAGTTAGCCCGTGGGAGGCCGCAGAAAAGTGCGAAACTAACTTGAAGCCGGGCGAAGCTTGTGGAGGCTAGTTCTAACTTGCGACATCTAGTACGAGAAAAATAATTTTTATCACAGTATGATCATGGTCATGGACTGCATCGGCTAAGAAGTAAGTACAAGGATGACTCTAGCGCATTGTTAACCGCTAGATCTTCATGATGCGCATCCGAGGAACATCAAGTAAGTAGATAAAAAGTCAGAACAAGCCTATAAGGTACATTGCGGGAATCTTAGGAGGCTGCAACGGGAGGTATGGGGTAATCTGCCGAGGTAGAATGAGTGAACATATCACATACAACCGATGCTTTGACGTTGGAGAGTATCACAGATGCGCAAATCCCTCACCACTTGAGGCGGTGCAGGAGCAAGGGCATACCGATAGATTGTTACCGATAGCCCGACCACGACTACTACTTAGAGGATATCAGTATCACTATCACGCAGGCGCGCTATACATCTGAAAAAGTTCTTTCAAAATCCTTTCCGACGTCGTTCCGAGTCTCGCTCTTTTCTGGAAATTCATGGAAAGAATGCGATTAGTACTTGCTCATTTTATTGTGGTCTCAATGTTTTAATGTCAATGTCATCAATGTTGCGAAGTCTTTTCATTTATTCTCCTGTAGGTGTAGTTCTCGCGTCTGCAATCTTTTATAAAAAATACTATTCGAAAAACTGAAATAAGCAAGTAACTGATCTTCAGAATAACCGAGATACCCATGAGAAGGAAGAGTAACCACTTGGCGTTAAGCTACCTCCCTTATTTCGGTCAGTAACTCGGTTATTTTGAGTTTTCGAATAGATGAACAAGTAGCAACTGTTCCATGTACGATTTTGAACATCCTGATGAGCTCATAGACGAGTACTAAGTAATATGCGACTTCTCACCTGCAGCTGTCAAATCCACCACAATTCTTCCTGCTGTTCCATTCTTTCTTGTCAAAATCTCTTCATGCGCCTCTGCTGCCGCTTCCAATCCATCGAATCTCAATTCTTCATCCACCACCGGTTCTAGCCAATTCACCCACTCTTCTCGCAATGCTTGGTCCGCGAGTTTTCGATTCTCTGGCTGCGTCCCGACGAAGCCAGTGACTACCGCTTCGGTTTGCATAAGCAATCTAGGATTCACGCTCACTTCCGAATGGCCGTTATTAGACGTATCGCGATCGCATTCTTCAGCGCATCCTTAGCGTCTTTTTCAAGTAGAAAAAGAGGCAGGGATGGTGGACGATGCTGCGGATGCTCTAGCGGTCGCCTTAACTTTATTGCCAACCATGACGATCCTGCCCTCACGGGCAACGTTCTGCATGTCCCAATGGAGGTTGTGCTGACCCTGCATCTCGATGATGATCGAAAACTTGTGGTCTTGCGGCAACCCTTGTTTTAGTTCGTCTTGAGAACCCTCTTCTCGTTGAAGTTGATGTCCCGTAACAAAAAAGTCTCCCTTTGGAAAGACGAACTTCGTATTTTCAACATCAGGCTTATTTCCAAATGATTCTCCATCCTCGAGAAACATCTTCCTCAACAGCCGTCTACCACGTTCACTACTTGCAGTTGCCACTACAGGCTTCAACCCAGCTCTCTTAGCCATTTGCAATATCAGGATCCCCACACCGCCAGACGCACCATGAACGAGGAGACCTCCTGCGGGTGCTGAAGGGACTGAAGAACTGGAAGAAGATAGTTCTTTACCAACTGATGTCTTCGCAACATGATCCATTCCCCTCCCTTTCTCCACAAAAGCCCTCCACGCCGCATAGTAGGCTACGCCAAATCCCGCTCCTTGTGCGAAAGAGAGGTTTGCAGGAAGCGGGAAAACGGCTGAAGCGGGAGCAATCGTTTCTTCAGCGTAGCAGCCGTTGAGACTGTCTGTGGTGAAAACACGAGTGCCTGGTTGTAAGATTGATGTTGGAGCAGTATCAGATGCAGATTTTGTAGTGCATGATGCATCTGTACTTGTTGAAGCGCATGATGTCGATGAAGCACCACCACCCCCACCGCCAGTGACATCCAAAACAACGCCAGCACTGTCTCGTCCAGGTGTATATGGCAGTGGTGGCAGAACTGCATATGCTCCCGCTCGTTGGTAATTAGAGGTACTTACGCTGATCATGTTGGTGTTCGCTTATCCCGTTCGTTATGCCTTTCTTCCTTGAGAAAGGCAAAACGGTGGACGGTAACAGAAACACCTTGAGCCTCGTCCCCTTAAGATAAGTCTCACTTGGGTTTATGCCAAAAGCCTTGACGGCAATGTGGACTTGCTGTACATCTTGCTCGATCAGTGGAGATGGCAAAGTTACAACCCGTTCTGCAATTTCCTTTAGGACTGAAGGAGCACCAAAAGCCGACACACGAACACAACGCGAGGGAAGGCCCATATTTGTCATTTTCGTGTTCATGATTCATTCTACTAGTAGATGGAACTACAAAAAAAGTCGAGCAGAACTTAGTCCACGATTGATAGATAAATCATGAAGATGAAGAACCCAAGATAGAAAAGCAACAAGGTGAAAAAATTGACGACACACGCTCAGAGACGTACACGTTTTTCCCCACTCAAGTTTTTCGACGCAGTTTTCCATGTTGCCAGGTCGTGTCTTATCAAACACCAATGGCACTCGTGTTATAGTTCTCGTTTAAATTTCAACTTTGGAAATGTTAATACAAAAACAAAATGAACAATAAACAACCAATTTTCAAAACGCTCAAAAAAAAACACACCGCCACACACATCCGCCGATGGTTTAGATCCCGAGGGTTAAGGTCCCGATGGTTTCGATCCCGATGGTTTAGATCCCGACGGCTTCGATCCCGATGGTTTAGATCCCGATGGTTTAGATCCCGATGGTTTAGATCCCGATGGTTTAGATCCCGATGGTTTAGATCCCGA